GGATATAGACGCATGGTTTACGACTACATTGGCAATCCTGGGGACTTTGATAATTGGCTAGCCTTATGGAAATTAAAAGTCCCCCTCCAAGTGGAAGACTTTTATATGGAGAACACTATCTAATATCTTCCCTACTACCACAAACTTGCTTATAAAGAGAGTATATGTGGATCCCTCATATCCTATGTGTGGCCTTGCTCATGAAGACACTATGCATGCACTCATTATGTGTGATTTTTCAAAGTTTGTTTGACATGAATCTTCCATTCCTATCTCTAATGTGGTTGGAAATACTTTCCCCATGTGGTTTAGAAATGCAATGAGTGTTCTCAGGGAGAGAGATCTTGTTTCAGTTGTAGCAGTCTTATACCATGTATGGAAAGCTTGGAATGCGGCGGTTTGGGATGGCCACCACATCAGTGCGTGCATGGTAGCAAGTTCATTCCAAACTGGGTAGTGCAGTTGCTCCTCTAACCGGCGTCCAGTTTGCAGATCGGGAGGGGCGGCCAGATGCTTCTTCGACGCCGGGTTCCGGCCGGCGACCAAGAAAGCCACTGTCGGCGCAGTGCTGCTCTCACCAGTTGGAGCTTTTGCAGCGGCCTTCAGCAGCATATTACCGGATTGTATCTCCGCCCTTATGGCCAAGTCTCTAGCTTGCAAGGAAGTGCTTTCTTGGCTCAAAGATCGCGATATCTCTTCTATGGAGTTCCTCACAGATTGTTCAAATCTTCAACACTATTTAGTTTGTGATCACATTGATCTCTTATCTTATGTTGGTTTTACTATTGATGCTTTTTGGTCCATTATGTCATCTTTTAATCGTTGTTTTGTTAACTTAGTCTCTAGAACTGTTAACCGAGGCGCTCATACCCTCGCTTCTGCAGCTTTTTCTCAAACTAGCACTCTGTATTGGGACTCTGTCCCTCCAGAATCTATTTCTGGTTTGCTATAATATTTCTACCGTTTGGTTGGCTTTCAAAAAAAAAAAAAAAAGAGCCAATAAAGTTAGGTCGGAAATTGAAAATGTTCGTCCAATTATTGGATGAAATGAATGGTTCAAATTATTTTGATGTTTATGTTTTTTTTTCTACCTTACCCTCTATTATATCATATACTTTTTGTAATTGTTTGGTCTATTGATACAGTGATACTAAATGCGAATAGTAATTCTAAAAATAATCTTATTATTGATCAATTCATTATATTTAAAAGTACATAGAAAAATATGTAACTAAAAAACAAAAACACCACTCCTTATAGAAACCCCCCAAAAAGATAAAGGTAGAAGGGTCAAATAGACTCATGTACTAACATTGATTGTTCATCTAGCACAATGAATTAAAATATGGTTCATCTAGACTACTATACTCTCAATTATTTTTTATCTAGCATTTTTAGCAAGTTTCTAACAAGTAACCCATCTAATTTGCTTACATGGAAAATAAAATGCTGACATGTTATTTTTTTCATCAAACTTGCAGTTTAAGTCACTTTTTTCGACAGAAAAATTCAATATTTTTACGTATTTCCAGATTATGTTGATTTCTTCTACGAATTTTCCAGAAAACAGTGAATCTATTTTTCCATCGGATGTGAGCCTATGAAGTAAGTATGTTACCGCTTTTGTGGTTTTTGAACCCATTTATTGGCATTAGCATTGGTATTGGTTTTTATTTTGGTTTTGGATGGTGCGTTTATGAGACTCTTCGGTACATACCTGAGATTGAGGAGCTTGGAAAAGAGCTGGTTAATAGACTAAGGGACAACGATGATCTGTATATTGCTCTTCATTTGAGGTATAATAACTAACTCGTCTTTTGATTTAATGTTTGAGGTATAACTTAATTACTGACTTCCTTTGAGTGTAGATACGAAAAGGACATGTTTACGTTTATTGGCTACAGCCACAATCTGACTGAAGTAGAAGCTAAGGAACTTCACATTATGAGGTATAATGTGTAGCACTCGAAAGAGAAAGAGATAGACATCGAAGAAAAGAGACTGCCATATGTCCCCGAGGGAAGCGGCCATGTTTCTGAAGGCGATGGGGTATTCCTCCACGACAAAAATATACATTTAGCATGCAAAATTTATGGTAACAATAGCATGCATGGATGCATTTCTCTTAGAATATCTCTACGTGTTTTCACACTCAACACTCGCAACAGATGAGGAGTTGAAATCTTTCAAGCCATATCAGAAATCAACATAATCCAGAAATATGTAAAAAAAAAAAAAAAAAAAATTGAATTCTTCTGCAGGAAAAAGTGACAAAAACAACAAGTTAGATGAAAAAAATAACATGTCAGCATTTTGTTTTTATTTTATTTTGCCATGTAAGCAAATTAGATGGGTTACTTGTTAGAAACTTGCTAAAAATACTAGATGAAAAATATTTGGGATTATAATAACCTAATGAACTATATTTTAATAGAATAAGGGTCAAATAGGCCATAGAACTACACATCAAATTGCAATTAGGCCATCCAACTCAAAAAAAAAAAGCAACAATCAGACTCCTGAACAGCGCAAATTCAAACAATTGAACCCAAAGTGACTTGTTGATCAGATAATTAGATGATGTGGCGGTTACCAATTTAACTTTTTAAAAAAATAAATTATTTTAATAATTCTTAAATAAAAAAACTCTGAAAAAAAAATTGCTAATTATCCCCTTCCCCTTCCGATAAGCTATTCGTATCCTGGCCGGAGACGAAGACCATTTCTTCGTCTCCGATTGGAGACGAAGAGAGATCTTATTTAAAACAACTCTATGATCCATTTACTTACAAGTGATTCTAGAATCAAGATTGGTCATTGGCGTGTTGAGATCTTATTTAAAACAACTCTGCGATCCATTTACTTACAAGTGATTCTAGAATCAAGATTGGTCGTCGGCGTGTTGTTTGTTATTGTAGTGACGAGAGTTATGAAGAATATGCTAATATTGACTGAAACAATCTGAGATTTGGTCTCACTCAAACTGATTATATGTACGTTACAAAACCCTTGTTTGTTGTTGTTAGGGGTGGGAATAGGCCAGGCCCCTTGTAGGGGCCTATATGCTGGCCTAATTAAAGCCTAGTTAGGCCTAGCTCGTTTAGTAAAAAGGCCAGGTTTGAGCCAATTTTAAAGCCTATTAAACTAAACAGGCCAGGCCTATATATACCAGGCTCGGCCTTCAGGCCTACAGGCCTGGCCTATATATATATATATATATATATATATATATATATATATATATATATATATATATATATATTCTATTTTATACCTAATATTTTTATATTTACAATATAACCCCAAATATATATAATTACCAAACCCTAATCCTTTATCTCCAAAATCTCATTCTAAATTATGATTCAACTATAAACATTGCTGTTAATCCTGCTATAAGTGATTTTATTGTGTAATTTTTTTTATTAACTGTTCTTACAATAATAATATTTAATGAAATATCGTAACTTAATTATGTGAGATGATTGTTAATTATTTAAAATATTATATAGGATAACAAACAATAATACAATTGAATTTATTTCTAAACAAGTTAACGAGCATGCTGAAGTCGTGACTTATTTTATTTTATATTTTAATGCTATTATGTTTAGCATTGTGGTGATATACTTATGTAATTATGTATTAGTTTTGTATTAGGTACATTTCTTATATTATTTAGATATACTAAAGTTTTTAAAAAGTCTTAATATGTACACTTTAATTGGCTCAAGGTAGGACATACATTGAAGCATTTTTAATGACCTAAATATTAAACAGGCTTTTAAAAAGGCTTCAGGCCAGGCCAGGCTAATTGCAGGCTCAGGCTTGAGCCTAACAAAAAGCCTACATACAGGCTCAGGCCCAGGCTTTAGATTTTCGTAACAGGCCCAGGCATAATTTTCCAAAGCTCGGCTCGGCTCGGCTCGGCCCAATGTTGCAAAACACGCTAGGCGCCGATTTTTTTTTTTTTAATTAAAAATAAAATTAAAAATTAAAAATTTTTAAAATTTAGTAATAAAACATAAGGTTTCTATAGTTATTTCTTAGAAATTATTTACGAAAGTGGTTGTAAAAGTGTTCAAAAGATTGTTTAAACCATCTAAATACATAAAAAAAAAAAAAAAAAAAAAAAAAAAAAAAAAAAAAAAAAAACTAAAATTAAGAGCTAAAGAAGCATTTTTTGAGAAATTAGTGGACCAAACCGCCTTCGGCTGTTTGCGGTGGATAGATCTCGAAAAAATACGCGATTTGAAAAAAAAATTGTCCAAATCGGACAACCGAGTCAAAAGTTATGCCTTCCGAAACTTTTCCGACATTTTCAAAAAAAAAAAAAAAAAAAAAAAAAAAAAAACCGCCGAACCGGCCGGTTAGGCGGCCACGGAGGCCGTTCCTCGCGGCGGCGCAATGGCGCCTAGGCGCGATTTTTGCAACATTGGCTCAGCCTATTTTCACCCCTAGTTGTTGTAGTGACGAGAGTTATGAAGAATATGCTAATATTGACTGAAACAATCTGAGATTTGGTCTCACTCAAACTGATTATATGTACGTTACAAAACCCACCGGACCGCTAGCGCATGTTAAAAACCCACCGGACCGCTAGCGCATGTTAAAAACCCACCGGACCGCTAGCTCGTGTTAAAAACCCACCGGACCGCTAGCTCGTGTTAAATTATTAACAGGTTGATTTGCCGCCTGCACTGAAGCTCGATCTCATGACCTCCCATATGGAAAAATCACTACATGTCATCTGAACACAAGATGCTTGGCATCTCATCTAATTATAGTTTTTATTTTAGAATTATTAAAATAATTTTTTTTTAAAATTAAATTGAAAACCTCCACTTCACATAATTATCTGATCAACAGGTCACTTTGAGTTCAATTGTTTGAATTTTTTAAATTAGATGGTCTAATTACAATTTGATATGTAGTTCCCTTATTCCTATTTTAATTTATGGTACTCAATGAAGAATCAAGATTAGTACGACTCTTCTGCCGAAGATAAAATTAAAGAGAAAAATTCATTAATGCAGAGTTGAATTCTTGTTGTTTGCTTCTTTCTTCCTCTTATCCCCGCGGGGGATCATTGCTCACTGATGCAAAATCCCTCTCTTCATAGTATCCCTGCCATTCCTTCTTTTCTGCAAATCTAAATCCTTAAGCAATTTGAGACCCAGGATCAAGATTGATTGAAAGTTGGTTTAAATCAGAGGTGGGTTTTAAAGGAAACGAGAGAGGGGTGAGGGTCGTCGGGTACTAGGGTGTTGAAATGGCGGGGGGATCAACGGTGTCGTTGACCCAGAACCCGGTTCCGACGTCGTCTATGTCATCCTCAGCCCTCACTAATTGTCCTCTCATGTCTTCTCTCATTGCCTTCATTCTTGCTCAATCCATCAAGGTCTTTACCGTCTGGTAACACCTACTTCTATTTCATTCCCCCATTGCTTCTTTAAACATTAAAATTATAAATTGCTTTAATTTAGTTTATTTTCAGTTCTAGATATTTTTATTGAGTTAATTTAGTTTTTGAACATAATAGTTTTTCTTGATTTAGTCCTAAATGACTTCTTGTGCTTCATTGGATCTGGGACTTCGACGATTTTACCTAATTGAGTCATTGGTTGGATAGCTTGATAATTTTCCCTTTGTTAATACTCAATTTACTCCTCAACTATAGTGGTTTTTTCTTGATTTAGTCCTTGATTCTAATTTCTAACAGCAAAACAGAGGTAGAGTACTCAATTAGGTAAAACCATCGTAGTCCAGTACTGAATTAAGCACAAAAAGTCATTTTGGATTAAGCACAAAAAGTCATTTAGGATTAAAACGAGAAAAATCACTATAGTCAAGACTAAATTGGGTATTAACTCTATTTTGATTCCATGTTTAACTTTGGTGTTTTTTTTTTTTTTTTCTGCTAGCTGTGTCAATTCCTTAAGTCTTTTGACATCATAGAAAAAATGGTTTGTTTTAAACAGAAAAATCATTCTGTTTTAGATTTTGTTTGTTATTTATTGCATTTCTGCGGTCTGTTCTTGCCCAATGCATATCATAGAGTTACACTGGTAGGGCCTATGATTGTAGTTAATTGATAATAGAAAAGGATTGTGTAAACTTTAATCTCAAGAGGCTTGTAGGTACAAGGAAAGACGATGGGATCTGAAGCAACTTATTGGATCTGGTGGTATGCCGTCGTCCCATTCATCAACTGTAACTGCACTAGCAGTAGCTGTTGGTCTGCAGGAGGGATTTGGAGGACCACTTTTTGCGACAGCCTTTATTTTAGCGTGTGTGGTATCATTTTGTTCCCTTTTACTATATTGTACCATATTCTCAGCTTTAAAGTAATATATTTTGCCATTTCATTGATGTTATTGAGATTGTTTAGTTGTTAGCATTTTATTGTTTCATTGGAGTTTAGTGAAGGTTTGTTATTGGTATATTATTGTTCTGGATTACATTTCCTGTTTCTCCTTAGGCACTTCACTTGCATTTTTATTGTCAGTCACCCCCGGCCCCCACAAAGAGCATCTCTTAAGTGAATCAAATTGTTATTATGATAATGGAAGTCCTCGAGGCACCTTTTTGAACAAAATTTTGAGGAAGGGGAAGTTTGTTCCACGATATTGCATGTTTGGATGCTAGGAATCAATCAGGAAAAGAATTTTGAGAAAAATTGCTATTATATTCTGAAATGTTTTAGGAAAAACATTTTCCTTAGGAAAAAAAACGAGCACATAGTTATTTAGAAACTAATAAATAGTTGTTTAAAAATTACTAAATAGTTATTTAACTTATTGTTCTTAGTCTTCGAATTAATTTAGGTAGTTTAATTATTTATAAGATTTCAGCATATTACTTAACTTATTTAGCCATTCTATGAGTTGTATTTTACCCTATAAAAAGGGAGTATTATTCAGAATAATGGAAGCAGAAATTGAATCCCAAAAAGGGTCTAAGGGAGTTTAGGGTCTCAAGCAAACCCAGTGGTTTCTTCTTTTCTTTTCCAACTGTTATTCTCTATTCATTTTTCCTTATGTTTTCTTGCCCGTGACGTGAGAACATAACATATTTCTTCAACATTTGGAATTGGAATGCTCTATTTAAGCATTAAAAGAGTATAGTGTAATTCAATTGGAATCATCAAAGTGCAATGCATAGTGCATTTTGATCCAATCAGGGAACAAAATCTGAAAACTCTTCATTTGTTTTCTTAAGAACTCAACAATCCAACTTTGCAAAACGTGACATAATACTCTAAATTCTCACATGTTTGAAAATTGAAATTCTATATTTATTTTGTTTATATGGGCCGGTTCACTTTTCAATTGGCTTGATTTGCCCATGGCGCTAGTTGAATCTTGATTGCATTACTGGTCACCTATTTCCTTCGGGGTGTTATGTTTGCCCCAAATCTGTTGGATATTCATTCTATCTTCTTGTTTACTGCACTGAATGTGTCCAAAAGGAAAAGAAGCATAACTCTGTTGTTTATCTTGACTCTATTGATTTTCATTGTGCCAATGGTATCTAATGTGTAACAAACATTTTTGGTAGGTCATGTATGATGCAACTGGAGTAAGATTACATGCTGGACGTCAAGCGGAGGTTTGAGGCTGCCCCTTGATTTGTGTGTGTTTGTTTGTAGTTGCAATCACATGCATATATGATGAATTCTATCTTCTAATTTGCAGTTTGCCATTGAATCTTCACTAGTTTTGCATGATTTTGAGTGTGTTCTTGAGGGCAGTTTTATTATGTTTAGCATATAATATATAAACATAAATGTGCAATCCAATTATCAGCTTAGACTTTTAGTTGAGATGGAATGCATTTTAATTTTGAGACCAGAGCCAACCCCAATCGTTATTCGTTATACGGTGGATCATGGTCCACACAGTTGTGTGTGGACCATGGTGATACGGCACAAATATGTATATTGTGAAATGAACATGTAGTAGAATTAAAGTGATACTTTAGTGTTGCTATAATGAACTTATTGTGTATATAAAATGAAACTGGATAGCAGATGCATGATGTGTAAATAAAATAATACTTGAGCGCTACTATAATGAAACTAGTGTGTTTGAAAAATAAAACGAAAACATAGCTCATACCATGATCCACAGTAAAATTTGCCAGCCAACCCCATGCCAAAGGTCATGGGTGTTGCTTGGAGCCCGTCAAAAGTAACTAGCTCGCACACGTGAAGGGGTGTGTTAGCATATAATATATATATAAACATAAATGTGTAATCCAATTATCAGCTTAGGCTTTTAGTTGAGATGTTATTTGATATGGATATTTTAAACTCGGATCACAAATTCATCTGAATTACTTAAACCTATCCATCTGGTTCATACTCAGGTTCTGAATCAAATTGTATGTGAACTACCTGCTGAGCATCCTCTTTCTGAAAGCAGGCCATTGCGTGAACTTCTAGGTCACACGCCCCCTCAGGTTTAGCCTCCCCTCAACGCTCTTTTATTGATTGAAAGTCGTCTTTGTTTTGCAGTATGAAAGCAAGCAGAGAACTGATTTTTCTTGCATTTTTCTGCAGGTAGTTGCGGGTGGTTTGCTGGGTATCATGACAGCCACAACTATTCGCTTGATCATAGGGTTTGGAACTTGGGCTTGATAACCCAGGCAGGTTCAATATATCTTTCTTGAGCTTTTCTAGCTTCTGAAATTGTATTCTACTATTCTGTAATTCCCTCCCTAGTTAGTCATAGTTTTGTTACATTTCACCAATGAACTGAGTTGGGCATTCTTCAGGACTTCAGAGGTTTATTAATTCATTGTAAATTGCCTACCAAGTACTTTGTGACAACGGCTCTGTTTGGCACGCCTAGTTGAAAGATGAAAAATTAGTAGTTAATAAGCTCTAACTAGTTGAAATTAAAGTGTATAATAAAATTATTTGTTGAATTAGCTGAGAATTGTAAAAAGACAAAGAGATAAATTAAGATATTAGGATTTTGATTAACGAAGAAGAGTAGATAAGTCATGAATTTACTTTGAAACGGGCAGCGTTTCAAAATAAGTTACGGAGTATTATCTTAAGCTCCTCGTCTTTTACCAAGCAGAGCTAACATCATAGTTATATTTCATAAGGAAGGTTTTAAGTTCGAATTTCATCGTAATATATATGATCTTTCAATATACAGGCTAAAGTGAAGTTTTAACTCTATAAAAAGTCAAGTTTCTCCTCTTCAAGTTGTGCATTTTGTTTCGAATACTGCTACCTGATACTGAATATATTCCATTTCTGGCAGCTCTTGAAATTTCCTTCACCCAATACCGTTTAAAATGCATGAAACATCAGATGAGAGCTCTACGCATCTACGTAGTTTCTCATTAAATTTACCTTTGGGGCAAATTATACTATAAATCATGGCTTAATGTAATTATAAATAAATGTTGAAAGTTCATTATTTATCATGGCTTAGTATATTGAATAAACTTTCAGTAAACAAATAATGTACCTTTAAAAAATCAACATATTTATTAAAAATAAACTTTTAATATATTAAAAATGTATTTTATATCAACAATCCACTTTACAAGGTGGTAAACCATAGTATAACGAGCCTCTTTAGCTCACAATCTTATTATCGCCACAAATTTATTACATACTCCGTAGAAAGTCTCATAAAAATAACACAGTAATAAAATATAAAAGAAATAAAATTTAAAAAAAAAAAAATAAAACATAATATAATCTAAAAATTAGATTATATTATCAACATACCGACTTCCTTTGAGTGTAGGTGGGCAAAAAAATGGCAATGCACTAATCCCTCAAAATAGGTGTCTTATTTTCCTTGTAGACTCGGATATTTAAGGAAAACTACATATTTTTCCTCTTCTGATTGCCCATAGAAAGTACACAACTTTTCCAGCTTTAATTAGAATGGTAATACAAGAAAATGAAACTATTTATGATATTTACTTGGAAGAAAAAAAAAAATGGGAGGGACTAGGGAGTATGTATCATCATCTGTCATTGAGATCCAAGGATGGTGCGAAAAACTTTTCTCATCTCAGTTGTGGCATCAGCAGCAAGTTGTGACTTTGTGCGCCAGGCAATATGCTCGTCGGGCCTCACTAAAATGGCTCCCCTGTCTGTCATCTGGCAGACATCCCACCAAGACGACGAATTTGGTGCTCTCTTAACTTCCAAAACATCTACGAAATTCTCCCAAGGTAACAATGCAGCTTTGCTTCTGTTGGGTCCCGCAATAGTTTCTCCTGCCCACATCACGCATACCTTTAAAAGAACTTTACATTCCTCAGCAACCTGGAATGCCCCCAGAGCCAGATGGTAGGATGAGTCCACTGGTGCTATAATGAGAACAAACTCGACCTTCTCTGCTGATACAAGGTCCAATGTAGAAAACGTTTCCTGCACATAATCCATAAGGTATGTGTTGAAATTGAGGGATTGAAAGGCCTAGCGGCGGGTGGAGAATAACAACCACCCGCCAGTTAGGTGGAAGCAAAATATGTGAGAAACCAAAGAAAAAGAGAACACAAAGAATATATTATAACAAAAGATTACAATAGATGAAATAACCTCCATTTAAATGTACACATGTGAGAATTTATAAACTTCAAGAGCCTGAATTTCCAATCTTGCATTTAACAAAGTTAAACCCACCCCTCCCAAATGCCAATACAAGTTTTCCCTTAGGAATGAAAGAAAAGATGTTATTAAGAAGTTAAAACAATACCTTGCTAGGTGGATTTGAAAATGGTCTAACATTTATGTGTGGCAACCTTGATCCCGGATCTGCTGAGGGCACAAAGTCCCTCCTTCGTCCTGTGGGTGCTTCGGGTTCATGCAACAGATTATCACCATCAGACACCAATGCTCCTTTGAGGTACCTAAATTAGAGAAAGTAAATTAACAGAAAATTCAGTTACCCGCAAAATTAGCCTTGAAATAAAGAACTATAAGCATTCGAAGATGCTTGAATTTGGATTGAATAGATAAAACAAATTTGTTAACTGGATTAACTTGATATGCATAAAATCAATTCAATATAGGTGTCAATGGCACTACCTGAAACCAAGATCCTCAGCAGGGAACTGGAGCTGAAGGCTCTGTCCTTCCTCGAATATTTCTTTTAGTCTGGCAAGCCTAGCAGATCCAAGCGGATTATTCGGATTTAAAACAAGATCAGAAAGCTGTGCACGGCCTATGCTAAAAATTCCATCTAAAATAGTCTTTTGTACTCCAGATGGTAAAATGGAACCAATGGTGTCATTAAGAGCTTGATGTACTGCAAGGATATTGATACATTATCATCACTATATTACAGAGTACATTAGCGCACATGTATATAGAATGAAACATGCATTTTACCTGCATTTGCAATAGTTGGATCAAGACCAAGTGCAGCAGGAACTCTCATTGCAGCTTTAAAGTTTTGGACACTAAGCATTGTATTAAAAGTTGCAATCTAAACGTTCCAAGTATTAGTATATGAAAACCACTAAACCAGTAGTAAAATTGTAAAAACCTATCAAATTGCAGAATGGTAATGAAAGGTACCACATATCCAAAGGTGGAGGGTGAGGGAAATTTAAAGAACTAATTAAGAAGTCAGAAAAGCAATACCTGTTTACGTTCTGCTTCATAAGTGGAAAGAAATGATGCAGGAGCAATACCCTTGCTAACCAAAGCTAATTTCCAGGCAATATTATGAGCATCTTGAATACCGGTATTCATTCCTGAAATGGTAGAAAGAATCTCAGTGGCTCCCTTTCATCATATTGACAATATATATCAGTCTGCATCCTATTGTGGTTGCTTATATGGATATCACGAAACAAAGCTTTAAACAAATATAAATTGATCAAGCATCATCACCATAGGGAGAGTATGGTTTTGGTTTATGATCATTGGTGTATTTACCCTCCACATAATAGACGCAGATGATTCAAGTCTCTTCTATTATCTCTCTAAGATTATGGTTTTTACACTATCTGCCTGAAAGGAAATGTGAACCTGCCCTACTGCTGATTCAGTCCAGAAAAAAGAAATCATAACAATAATGATTTGAGCCAAATTAAATAAGGCTAATTGTACGGTATTAAAGGTGCCTGAGTATTAATTGAACGGGGATTAGTCTGAGTATGGTACGGGCTTAAAGGTGCCTTCTACAGTTAGGGCCGGCTCAAGACACCTCGTGGTCTGACCAAAAAAAAAAAAAGCTAATTGTAGTAATCCAAAACCTTCATAACCTAAATGGTACCAAACAAAATTTGGTAGGCCAACCAAAAAAGACAAACCGATAAATGAGAGCAGTTGCCTACCAAAACCTCCAGCAGGAGGAAAACGGTGTGCAGCATCCCCAGCAAGAATTATTCTGTTGCCACACGACAGAAACTTCTCAGCAACTTCAGCATGCATTACCCAGGGCTTTATGTCCATCACTTTGACGTCTGCAAGCTCTTTACCTACCAGCTCGAAAATTATTTTATGCATCTGCAGCAGTATTTTATAAGAAACCATGTATCCTTAAAATTTCATAAAATACAACTAGATATTGAAAGAAAAAAACAAAATGTTGTGTATGATTATTTTAATATGTCCCGTGTACAAAACAACTCAGCAAGCAGAGTGCGGAGAAGCATACCTCAGAGCTGAAGTCCTCAAGCCTTTGCTGAGGTGGATAAAACGGTATCTATGAATTTCAAACAGAAGTATAGTAAGTTTCCTTCTATACATTAGAATTACAAATATCACAACAATCCCATTGTGATACATACCTGCAACACAAATTCCCCCTGCTCAAGATTATGGGCTACAAGAACACCAATAGCTTTTTCATTAAATATGAAAAACAGCATCCCAGGTCTCTCATTAATGAGATATTGCCCCAGTTCTTGGCTCATAAAGTGGACACTGATAAGTTTTTGCAAGTTCTTTTCCCCTTTCATATTTATTCCCATAAGATTTCTGACTGTACTTCCAGCACCATCTGTACCAACAAGGAACTGACACCGGATACTTCTCTCTGTAGACTTTCCTTCCCCAGGGAAAGATGCAGTCACAGTAATAAAATGATTGCCAGGATTTATTGCTACGCACTCATGCCCCATAAGGAGCTGCTTCTCCGAAATAAAGCCATCATGCATGCCAAACCCTTCATAGTTCCTGATATGAAAATCAAGTTCCTTTAGCTGCTTAAGCATCAATCTGGTCAGTTTGTACTGTGAGAAGTGTGCAACAGAGACAGGGCTCACAATATGATCGAAATCTGAATAAAAGAGAAGTATATGAAACTAGCACAACAAATTGCACTTTCTCAAGCAAGCATGTAAAAGAACTGTCCTCTACCAAGTTACTCATAGATGTTGAGCATATAATATATATATAAATATAAATGTGCAATCCAACTATCAGATCAGCTTAGGCTGAGATGAAACACATGCTTCAATTATAGAATATGTGACAAAAATCAGTTCAATGAAAAGTACATCAACACACCACCAGTTGCAGCATTTGTGTTTGTTATTCGAATGCAAATTAGTATCAAATTAGGTGGTTTGGTACTATATTCTACCTTCGGGTTGCATATGATCAACTGAGCCAAGAATAGGACCCGTGAGAGATGTACAGTATATGAACTTCCTCCAAAACTCTACTGGTGGTTGAGAACTCAGAATCTCTTCTGCTAGACCATCCATTTTGCGAAACACCTATCAACAAATTCTACCATCAAAACAAAAGTTCCATTTATCCCATGAATATTCGATAGAACACATTCCACATAACAAAAAACCAACCTCCATTGATCGATTGTTAATAAAGTGAGCTTGAGGGTGGGTAGGAAAGACCTTGCTCTTCTCCAAGACTGCACATTTCACACCTTAAACAAAGAAACGAACAATGTAATTTTTTATAAAATAAAATATAAAAAATAAAAACCCGAACACCAAAAAGCAAAAGAAATGGAATTTGGGTTCACATAATAGAGAAAAGTAAGAGTATTGAATTCACAGAATTTTGCAAAGCTCCAAAGGGACAGTCAAAATGGTGATTTAAGATAAGTACCCAATTTGGTGAGGAGTATAGAGAGAGCGAGCCCAACTGGGCCGGCACCGATTATCAGAACGGGCAAGATTGGATCTTCGCCGTTTAGTGAATGCGAGTTGGATAATGCTCTTTGTTGAGTGTGGTTGTGGTTGAAGGACAGAGAAGTGATTCTTGTATGGGCAAGGTAGAGATTCCGTAAGCTTCTTCTCCCTGCAAGTCCCAGTAAAAGAAGGGACGTCGATTGGGCCATGGCGTTCTAGGATCGTACAACGCAAGCAAGCATAGAACAGCTCCTACAAACTAGGTTTAAATAAGAAATATTCAGATATACAGTACTTTAGTACTCTACTAGTGAATGTAATAATAATAAAAACAGCAAATACCAATTTTGATCTCAGACTATTAGCAAAATGATATGATAGTTTTAGTCTACATATGTTTACTTCCTAATTTTCGTCCTTTTCAACTTAAGAGTCCAATTTGAGCATAAATAAATGAATTTAAGCCTTAAGATCAATCCTAATTCGCAGTTTTCCTCCGGAAAAAAACTGCAAATTGGGATAAATCTGAGGACTTAATCACTTTATTCATGTTCAAATACGGATCCTAATTTGAAAAGCACAAAACTATCCTTAATAATTTCATATTTCGGCATGTTTTAAACGAACGGGTGACCAGCGTGATGAATTTTGACACTAAAATAATAGTTGTGGATGAAAACTGATACCAAAACAATAGGTGGATGAAAATTGGTATGAATTAAATATATGGACAAAAACTGTCATTTTACTAATACTCGTACGACCAAAATTGATATTTACTTTAATAAAAATAATAATAATAATAATAATAATAATCACTCATCAAAAACTGTCATTTTGCTAAAGATACAAACTTATAACTACAAAGTTAAAGTGTCATCCCGTGCAACACCTACCTTTCATAAAGGTATATTTGATGACTAGAACTGTTAAAACTGTCTAGCGTAGCCCATTTCTTATACTGGTTAGAATTTCACAACCCAACCCATGGTCCGACGGTCTGGCAGGTTAAACAGCCCCCGTCCTAAAATTAAAAAAATACAAAATTAGTAATTTAGTAGTACATAAAAATTCATCTGATATGCTGCTATTATTCACACATGACACACCTATCAAATACACAAATCACAGTTCACATGATCACAGTTTCAAACAGCTCAACCAAACAATTGAAACAAACAATATGATAAAACATGCAGAAAGGACGACTGACAAACATCTTCAAGAAGCCATTTGATTGAATCAATAACATTAAAATGCCCATCAACAAGAACCCATTTTGATCGAACCAATAACAATAAATCAAAATGCCCAAACCAACCCAGAAAACTGGTAATAACTTCAGAAAAAAGATCGCTAACCAACAGGTTCAAGAAGCCATTTATGTTCACAGTTCAACACTATGTTCACAATTCACAGAATCACAAAGGTTACTAAAAATTGTTTAGTGCAAATGTGAGAGGGAGAAGGCTGAATCGCAGTAGGGAGAGAGACCGGAGTAGGGAGACTGCCAGACTGGGAGAAGGCCGAAACGCAGCCCGCAGGTCGCCAGTCGCTGGTCGGAGACTCGGAGTTCGCACTTCCGCTTCGGCCTTCGCACTTTGCAGTTCGTAGAGAGCAGAGAGATTAGGGATTTATTAGGGAAATGGGGAAATGGGAATACGACAATAGTGCAATATGCTTCAGACTGTAGTTTTTTTTTTTTTTTTTTGGGTTACCCGGCTAGGGATGGCAACGGGGAGGGGAGTATACTCCCCCTCCCCGTCCCCGTCCCCATCCCCGACGTGGAATTAAAAATAGTCCACATCTTCGTCTTCACAGAGAATTTAGCGGGGACGGGGATTCTCTATCCTCGATCAACTCTTAGTCAAAATTTAAAATTAGTGTAATTTTTAATTTTAAAAAATAAAAATTTAAGTATTAATTTTAAAAAAATTAATATATATATATATATATATATATATATATATATATATATATATATATATATATATATATATATAGATATATATTATAACTAAAATAAATAAATAAATAATATATATATAATAATAATAATTATTCGGGGACGGGGCGGGGCGAGGAGAGGTATCCCCGTCTCCGCCGGGGAATTAAAAAAATTCTCCATCCCTGTCCTCGATCCTCGAAATTTTTTTCCATCCCCGTCTCCGTCTCCTACGGGGTCGGAGATCCCCGATGGTGACAGGGCATATTGCTATCCCTATACCGGGCAGGTTATCCGGCTTCAACCCGTTTAACCCGGATTTTATACGAGTTAAACGGGTTGGGTTGAATACGGGTCATGCTGGGATTTCTCCCACTCAATATCGGCTGTTTTGATAGCTATATATATTTCGATTTACAAACCATTTTTTTTTGCATAGAATTTTTTTACAGGTTTTCCAGTATTTTTGATGACATGGCAGCACTTTCCTGCTAATGTGGCTTTATTTCTTAGGGCATCCTCAATAGTTGAGGATTTTACACCAGATTTTTGTGGGCCCCAACATCCACCTCATCATCTACTATCGCACTCAATCACAAAATCTCCTCTTCCCATTAGTTTTAAATTTTTCACAACTCTTTGTGGAACCACAATTTTATCTCCCTATTTTAAGTATTTCTTTATTTATTATCATTCTAAAAATCATAATTATAAATTTGATAAAAATATCATTAATAATTATAAATTTAATAATATTATTATTGATAATTAAGAATTTTAATTTAATTAATAAATATAAATTTAATAACAATAATAACTTAAAATTAAATAAAATAAAATTAATAATTAAAAAATAAAAACAAAAATTTAATAGGTTAAATTAAAAATTAAAAACTAAAATTAAAGAAAAAAATAAAATAAAAACAAAACAAAAAGCTGGCGGCCAACAAAACAAAATTTAAAAGGGTTGTGTCAGGACGTTGTGGGCTGTGGTGGGCCATATGCCTCTGCAAAATTTCTCTCTTTGGAGGAGAACAATGGCCTGAAAATTTGTCATTCCCATTTGTCTAAAATTCCTAAGTGTAACTTTTACTATTCTAAAATCTCCTTAAATCAAATAAATGGGGATGCCCTTAGTCAGTTCCTCCAACTTAGGCTTATAAATAATCAAAACTCTAAATTATTGAGTCAAACCACTTCTTCTGGCTTTCTTATTGTCGTGCAAGTATCTCCAGTAGGCTAGATCTCTTCATTAACATACAAGACTTTTGGAGATGTCATCTTCTTCGAATTCATTACGAGTGAGCAAATATAGAGTACGAGCAAATATGGACTCGAGCAAAAAATTCTTCGAGTTTCAAAAATGGAAGGTAGGCATTGTTCGAATTCATATTTCAATTTTCTCATTTTTTTTTTTATTTTTTCCATTTCTTTCGTAATTTTCCCCAATTTTCCGTAATTTTACAGTTATTTTCTATAATTCTTTTGTTACTTATTTTTCTAGTTTTAATGCTTTCTTATTTTCTGTAATTTTTTTGTTTCTTATTTTTCCAGTTTTAATAGTTTATTTGCAGTTTTGTTTCTTTAATATTTTCCTAATTTTTTCATAATTTTACATAATAATTCCATAATTTTTTGTTTGTTATTTCTCCAGTTTTAATCGTATTGTCACTTTTCTTCTTCTTCTTCTTCTTCTTTTTTTAAAGTTTTATTTATTTGCAATTTTATTTATTTTTAGTTTTAATTGTATTGCAGGTTACTCGAGTCCTGGTGAACTTTCGACCAAACTTCAGTAACGCCAGTCACAATCACCTTCTCCAACAAAAGACAAGGCAAATTAATTGGTCTGCCTTCTTCTTCGACGAAAGGGAAGGCAATCGGTTTAGTCGCTTTCTCCAGTCGAAGGAGAAGGATGGCCAATTATTGTGTGGACCATGGTCCACATATCTGTGTGGACCATGAATATCCAATACATTTTTAATATACTAAAATCACATTACTTGTATACTAAAGGCACATTATTTGATAGTATATATAAAATAATGTATTTTAAGTACTCAAATAATGTACTTCCAACAAATGTACTTTACGTACACAAATAATGTACTTTTAGTATATTAAAAATGTACTTTTTATTTATGGTTCAGACAACTGTGTGGACCATGATCCATGTAATAATGATTGGAGAAGGATAAGATAGACCAGTTGGTTTGCCTTCTCTTTCGCCGAAGAAGGTGAACACAACTGGCAACCCAATTGTCGGAGTTTGGTCAGAAGTTCTCCAGAACCCTAATGACCTGCAATTGCAAGTCACTAACTGATTTCTGGACTTCAATGTTCCAAAATAATATGTTCATGGGTTTAATTGCAACTTTTGAAAGTTTAAGAAGCATAATTGACTTTTTGAAGAAAGTTCACGGGTCTATTTGACACTTAATAGTTAATACTAGGGGTGTAAACGAGTCGAGCCGAGCTCGAGCATGGGTATGCTCGAGCTCGAGCTCATTAAATGCAGTTATGCTCGAGCTCGATCGAGCTCGTGACTGGATGCTCGAGCTCGAGCTCGAACTCGATCTTGAGCTCGAGCTCGAATTCGAGCTCGAGATCAGGCTCGAGTTCGGGTTCAAATGCGTGCTCGATCTTAACCTTGAATTTGACGGTTTAACCTATTTGATTTAAAATTTAAACTGCTATGTTTTATCCATACATAAATAATACAAACTTCAAATCAAAACACTCAAAATAATTTCGCAACGAAGTAAAAGATAGTGAAGACACAAGTCTGTTTGTTCAAACTTCAAAACATTCAAAATAAGTTTACAAAACACAAGTCAACAGTAGTAGTCCTTGATTCCTTGTACATATATATTTCGTCCTGGATATGTTCAAAACAGGAAATATCTGTTCAACTTGCAAAAAAAAAAAATGAATAATATTAGATAATAAATGAAATTAATTAAAAATAGTTAAACAAAGATGTTACTTTGTAACTTACTTTCATGAGTTGGATGCCGGAAGAAATATTTCTTTGAATGATTTCTCTTTCTACAAAATAAAAATAAAAATAAAAATAAGTATACAATTAAACAAATATTTTTTAAAAAATGTATCTTTTAGCATAAAAGTTAACTTACTTTGTTTTTGGTAACTCCATGTATATGTCTTAGCCAATCACCCCCACAAAGTAAAGCTTGGGCTGTTTCAGGCAACAATGATGCACGATACGAATCAATTACCCTTGTCCCAGCACTAAATGTTGCTTCTGAAGTCACACTGCTAACAGGTATAACTAAAATATCTGCTGCCATTCGAGACAATATTGGATACTGCAGTCTATGCATCTTCCACCAATCTAAAGAACAAAAGTTGCTTGGAACCTCAGTAGTCTTAAGACGCGCTTTTTCTAGATAGTCTACTAACTCAGAGTTTTTAGGCCCTGAAGTTTCAACTTGGGCACAAAATCCCTCAAAATCTTCCCAAGCATATGTAGACTTTTGGCGGCTGACTTGGCTTCTAAAAGTGTTTGAAGAACTTGGATTTTCAGGATTATCTTTGTTCATTGATTCAGCAACATACTCTCCATAAAGAGTATTGATGATCTCCTTCACTTTTGCTATATTCTCCTTAGCTTCCTTATCAGAATAAAGTCTAGGGAAACAGAATTCAACTGCAAGCATTTTCTTTGTTGGATAAAAAACAACATCTATAGCCATCAACAAATTGCACTCACCCCAATATTTATCAAACTTCTTCTTCATTCTCTTAACCAAATCCTTAATAAAGTCATCTTCATCATCTACATGACTATCCAATGTTGATTTGATTTTTTGAACTTCTTGAAGAAACAAATTTGAAGTAGGATACTCAGAACCTGAAATAAATTTGAATTCAGATAATCACAATTCACAAGTCACAACCTTAACCAAATTAAAAAAAAATAAATAAAAGAAACAAACCTGAAATAATGTGAGTATCTGTCCAGAAAGTCTCTAAAATTGAGCAAACTTTGACAACCTTGTCCCAATCATCTTCCAATGGACAACTCTCATAGAAAGGATCACGATCTTTTAGCATCTTGAAAGCTTCTTTGAACTTAGTGCACAACTTAACATCTCAAAAGTTGAGTTCCATCTAGTTTTACAATCACGAATCAATTTCCTATCTTTCAATTGCAATTGTTGCACACAGTTACCAAATTGTATACGCCTTGATTCCGACCGGTTCACATATTCCACACTATTTCTAACATCACTAATGATGTTCTGAATCTCATCTAATCCATCTTGAACACACAAGTTCAATATGTGTGCACAACAGCGAACATGAAACAAACGTCCCCCACATACCAAACTTCTTGACCTTTGGAGTGTATCCTTCATGTACCTAATAGCAGAATCGTTATTTGAAGCATTATCAACGGTAATTGTAAACACTTTCTTTTCAATGCCCCACTCTTTCATGCATCCAAATATAGCATCAGAAAGCTGAAGACCTTCCCTCGGTGGTGGAATGTTAATGAAGTTTAAAACTCTCTTTTGCAACCTCCAAGAAGAATCAATCCAGTGTCCAGTGACAACCATATACTCAATCTTCTGATTTTTTGATTTCCAACAATCTGTTGTCAAACTTACTTTACTAACACTTTCAAGATTGTTCTTCAACTTCTTCTTT